ATACTCCAAATGAGGCCGCACCGGAGTTTTGTACAGCTGCAACATGACCTCATGGCTCTGAAACTCAATCCCTCTACCAATAAAACCTAACATACTGTACGCCTTCTTAACAACACTATCAACCTGGGTGGCAACTTTCAGTGATCTATGCACATGGACACAGAGATCTTTCTGCTCATCCACACTACCAAGAATCTTACCATTAGCCCAGTACTCTGTATTCCTGTTACTCCTTCCAAAGTGAATCACCTCACACTTTTCCGCATTAAACTCCATTTGCCACCTCTCAGCCCAGCTCTGCAGCTTATCTATGTCCCTCTGTAACCTGCAACATCCTTCCGCACTATCCACAACTCCACCGACTTTGGTGTCATCCGCAAATTTACTAACCCATCCTTCTACGCCCTCATCCAGGTCATTTATAAAAATGACAAACAGCAGTGGCCCCAAAACAGATCCTTGAGGTACACCACTAGTAACTGAACTCCAGGATGAACATTTCCCATCAACCACCACCCTCTGTCTTCTTACAGCTAGCCAATTTCTGATCCAAACCACTAAATCCCCCTCAATCCCATGCCTCCGTATTTTCTGCAATAGCCTACCATGGGGAACCTTATCAAATGCTTTACTGAAATCCAAATACACCACATCAACCGCTTTACCCTCATCCACCTGTTTGGTCACCTTCTCGAAGAACTCAATAAGGTTTGTGAGGCACGACCTACCCTTCACAAAACCGTGTGGACTATCCCTAATCAAATTATTCCTTTCTAGATGATTATAAATCCTATCTCTTATAATCCTTTCCAACACTTTACCCACAACCGAAGTAAGGCTCACTGGTCTATAATTACCAGGGTTGTCTACTCCCCTTCTTGAACAAGGGGACAACATTTGCTAGTCTCCAGTCTTCTGGCACTATTCCTGAAGACAATGACGACATAAAGATCAAAGCCAAAGGCTCTGCAATCTCCTCTCTAGCTTCCCAGAGAATCCTAGGATAAATCCCATCCGGCCCAGGGGACTTATCTATTTTCACACCTTCCAGAATTGCTAACACCTCCTCCTTATGAACCTCAATCCCGTCTAGTCTAATAGACTGTATCTCAGTATTCTCCTCAACTACATTGTCTTTTTCCTGTGTGAATACTGACGAAAAATATTCATTTAGCACCTCTCCTATCTCTTCGGACTCCACGCACAACTTCCCACTACTGTCCTTGACCGGCCCTAATCTTACTCTAGTCATTCTTTTATTCCTGACATACCTATAGAAAGCTTTAGCGTTTTCCTTGATCCTACCTGCTAAAGACTTCTCATGTCCCCTCCTGGCTCTTCTTAGCTCTCTTTAGGTCCTTCCTGGCTAACTTGTAACTCTCAAGCGCCCTTACTGAGCCTTCACGCCTCATCTCTACATAAGCCTCCTTCTTCCTCTTGACAAGAGATTCAACTTCTTTAGTAAACCACGGTTCCCTCGCTCGACCACTTCCTCCCTGCCTGACAGGTACCTACTTCTCGAGGACACGCAGTCGCTGTTCCTTGAACAAGCTCCACATTTCAATTGTGCCCAGCCCCTGCAGTTTCCTTCTCCATCCTATGCATCCTAAATCTTGCCTCATCGCCTCATAATTGCCTTTCCCCCAGCTATAACTCTTGCCCTGCGTTATATACCGATCCCTTTCCATCGCTAAAGTAAACGTAACCGAATTGTGGTCACTATCACCAAAGTGCTCACCTACCTCCAAATCTAACACCTGGCCTGGTTCATTACCCAGTACCAAATCCAATGTGGCCTCGCCTCTTGTTGGCCTCTCTACATACTGTGTCAGGAAACCCTCCTGCACACATTGGACAAAAACTGACCCATCTGAAGTACTTGAACGATAGCATTTCCAGTCAATATTTGGAAAGTTAAAGTCCCCCATAACAACTACCCTGTTACTTTCGCTCCTATCCAGAATCATCTTTGCAATCTTTTCCTCTACATCTCTGGAACTTTTCGGAGGCCTATAGAAAACTCCCAACAGGGTGACCTCTCCTTTCCTGGTTCTAACCTCAGCCCATACTACCTCAGTAGACGAGTTGTCATCAAATGTCCTTTCTGCCACCGTAATACTGTCCTTTGACTAACAATGCCACACCTCCCCCTCTTTTACCACCTTCCCTGATCTTACTGAAACATCTAAACCCCGGAACCTGCAACAACCATTCCTGTCCCTGCTCTATCCGTGTCTCCGAAATGGCCACAACATCGAAGTCCCAGGTACCAACCCATGCTGCAAGTTCACCCACCTTATTCCGGATGCTCCTGGCATTGAAGTAGACACACTTCAAACCACCTTCCTGCCTGCCGGTACACTCCTGCGACCTTGAAACCTTATTTATGACCTCACTACTCTCAACCTCCTGTACACTTATCCTTTGAATGTTATTTGTCTATAAATTATTCTTGGAAAATCATCTTTACCTATCAAATTCCTCACATTTTTAATGGTCCTTTCCAAGTAACAAAATTGGCACTCCCTTTTCTGTAATCTTAAAATGCTGTTAAATATTTATCCTCATTCTCGTAGGGTTTCTAAGCTGCCAATTTTTGTTTAAACAACCAGCACTATTACCTCTTTCCTGGCTGCTACAGTAAATACCTGGTTTCTACTGAGTACATTCCAGGAGTTGCTTAGGGACTAAGTACATGAGAAGCACAGATATTTTTCATTTCCCACCCATACTCCACTGAGTCATCCATTGCAGTTAATGGTTGCTTTGCTGTGTGATCAGCTCTTTCAACTAAAATTGGTATTTTTAATAATCTTGTCCATGTTGAAAGCCATTTAGGATTTCATAACTTGTTATTCAGGCTTAGTTCCAATTTTCTGTTGGAAAAACAATGCTCCAGTGGCTTTGATTTAAAATTCTTTTGTGCCCAGTACCCCTTCATAGTAATGAAGGATAAAATATGGTGTTGAGTTCCAAATCTACCATCCATAGTGGATTACAACTGCGACAGGTCCAGAGAATGCAAAGACCTCTGTCAGAGTTTTGATAACATTTATTTGACGATTTGGAATCTTGAATTAACTATGCCGCACTAACAGCAAAGGTAACATTCACTTGACTGTTTCCTCTACCCTCTGTCCAGGGTACTTAGTGTTTTACATGTAATTTCCTTTGGGTCTTTTGAACAATCTGCCCCTCTCACTGATAATATTTAAGCTTGACTGTATTGCTTCTGGCCAAGTCAACAACTTGAGTTTTGAACTGACTGTTTTCTACAACTTGTCCAGTCTTCAAATTTATTTTTCCATCAGCAATAAGCGGCAAGAAACAAAAAATTATTTTTATGCCTTTTATAGCCACTGTCCTGAAGCACTGCAGCTTTAGAAGACATTTGTTAGGCCACACTTGGAGTATTGTGTTTAATTCTGGCCACCACATTACAGGAAGGAAGTGGAGGCTTTGGAGAGGGTGCAGAAGAGGTTTACTAGAATGCTGCCTGAATTAGAGGGTATGAACTATAAGAAGAGACTAGAAAAACTCTGGTTGTTTTCTGTGGAGTGGCAGACAATGAGGGGAGACTTGATAGAAGTCTATAAAACTATGGGATCCATAGATAGGGTTGATGGTCTGAATCTTTTTCCCCAGACTTCAAATGTCTAAAATTAGGAGCATGCATTTAAGGTGAGAGCTGGAAAGTTCAAAGGAGGTTTGAGGGGGCAAGTTTTTTTACATAGGGTGATGAGAGTGTGGAACGCACTGCCAGCGGTGGTTGTCGAGACAGATACAATAGGGGTGTTTAAGAGACTTTCAGATAAGCACGTGAATATGCAAGGAATGAAGGGATATGGACCAAGGGCAGGCAGAAGTGATTAGTTTAATTTGGTATCATGTTCGGCATAACATCGTGGGCCAAAGGGCCTGTTCCTGTGCTGTACAGTTCTATGATCTATGTTCACTGCTTTTCTGGTACTAGACTGTAGCAGAGAGCTGTAAATTCCATGACGATAGGCGGCAAATATTCCAACCAACATGAAATCTTCCTGTGTAGTTCAAGGTAGACATTGAGTTAATGATAGCATGTAGTAAATTATTATTCTTTTATGGTTTTAACAGTTGTATGTATTTAGATGTGCTGAAAGAGATGAGAGGAAAGACTGCTTTGGTCATTGACTTCTCATTATGGAGGAATCTCTGATTTTCATAATGTCCAGTTGACAAAAGGGCAATACCTTTTTTAAAAAAGAAAACAGACACGAGTACCTATAGTGAAATATATCCTGAGGACAAGTATCTGTATATGAAGAATTTAATGAGAAACTGTGGATTTAGGAGGAGAAGAACTTGGTTTTCCAAATGTTGGGGATTCCATTGCAGATATGGTAGAGTGTGGCAGTTTTGTGCGTTGATTTCAAGAAGTTTTCAGAAGGTTTTTGACAAAGTTTCACATGAAAGACTTCTAATTTGGAAAAGCCACAAGAATCCACAATAAATTGAGCAAATAAAAACTATAGATCGGAAATTATGAACGATAAGCATGTAATGGAGTTTAAATAGGCACACAATTCAGAAGGGACCAGAAATTAGTGGTAGACACTATGTGCAGACCATATGGTAAATTAATTTTAAGAAGTGAATAAAGTGCTAGGATGTTTATCAGCATAATTGCTGAAAGTCTTTTAATACTAAGACCTGAACCAGGAGTATTATGTTTGATTTTGGCTACTACATTTACAAAGAGAGAATATCTCAATCAAGCACCAACCATTGCCAAATTGATGAAACAGAGGACTCTGAAAATGCATTGGAAAAGGAGCTTGGAAACCAGAGGTGTGGCAAGAAGCATTAACCAAGCATTTTCATGCAGCTTGTCTAGGATGATGAGGTGTACAAGAACTTTCTAAATTTGTACCAAAACTAAAGGCTTCAAGGAGTTGGGCTTTTCTAAAATTGTCTTGGAATGTTATTTTTTGGTTAAGAACTCTTGTTGTTTTCACTTTTAGTCCCTACCACAGCTGCCAGCACACCGGATGCTGTTGACAAGTACCTTGAAACACCTGGCGATGAGAATGAGCATGCTTATTTCCAGAAGGCAAAGGAGAGGTTGGAAGCCAAGCATAGAGAGCGTATGTCAAAGGTTGGTTTATTTTGTCTTGTCCTGTTCTGTTTCAATTTTTTCATCTGTAGTTTGGATTAATAACAGTTTTACCGGTCCTGTACCATATCATTTCATCTGTCTCAACGTTGTTGCCGCTGATCTTATTACCAATGTACTGTTCAACCTGAAGCAAATAAATCACAATACTAGTCCAATTTGCTTATGTGATTGTAATTGAAGCCACTTCTCTGGGATTTTTCTTTCTATTTTCAGAAATATAAATTATGTACTGGGGTTTTAATGTACTAATCTGTCTTTAGATAATGCGAGAATGGGAAGAAGCTGAGCGTCAAGCAAAAAATCTGCCAAAAGCTGACAAAAAGGCAGTCATTCAGGTAAAGTGATGTTTTAGGGAGTTTAAGTATTGATTCTTTGTTTTCATTCCGAGTACAGCGTTGTGTTTTTAGCATCATTGCTGTTTTGGAAAGGGAAGGAAATGCATGACCAGTTTTAGTACTTCACATCATTAAAATTTATTCTGCATCTCTGTGTTCCAGCTTTTTACATTGGCATAGCAGTGTTATTCCTTTGTACGCTAGAACTTGTCTGAACTGTTAACATAAATCACTGTATGCAGTTTACAAACATCCTCGCTTTAATTAAAAATTGGAAGTTAATACCAACTATTTTAATGGGGAAAAATTTTTGATCCTTAAGCGTTTCCAAGAGATGGTGGAATCACTAGAGCAGGAAGCAGCAAGTGAAAGACAGCAGTTGGTAGAGACCCACATGGCAAGGGTGGAGGCCATGCTAAATGATAGACGCCGTATTGCATTGGAAAATTACCTTGCTGCACTCCAGGCTGATCCACCCCGGGTAAGTGCAAGGCTTGATCAAATATTTAAAAATTGCCCATTTAGAATTGGCACATTGCTTAGTAGAAACAATACAGGGCATTGTTAATTCACATTAAAGTTTAGCTCATAATTTGTGTTTCACTTTGGAGTTTTTTATACCAAAAAAAGTGTAACTTTATGCTACAAATGCATTTTTTGTTGACATGAGCTATCTTATTTTCTCTTAGACGGTTTGCTGTGTTTAAGATACTGTTGCTATTGAGTTGCATGTTCACAGATCTGTGGGCTACTCCCTGTAGTTTGCTGTTCTCTTGGCCTGATTCCAATTGTCCTGTGAGAAGGTTGCCAAACAGAGTCTAGGCGTTCTGCCCAAAGGAAGAAGGAGGTCCAGTTACCTTGGGCTTTGTTCATTGGTTTCCTATTTGGCAATGCATAGTGTCATTTCTCGATGCTACAGATAAGGTCTCCTGCTCATTCATCCAATTAAAGATACTAAGGTACTTGTGGAATAGGGTAGGAATCAGTCCTTTTTTAGTTTTTTCAAAAGGTAACTTTACTTTATTCCTGCTTAGTTTTTACATTGTTTCAGAAATTCAATGCCTGAGTTCTCTCACAGCTGCCAGTGGCTCATTGGACCAGTATGTCTGTCCCTTGGGCAAAGGATAGAATTTGCATGCTCAACAATGTGAAATGTGCATTCCTGAAGCTTTGACCTGCTTTCGAACAAGGGATGGCAAGAGTGAAATAGATCTTCACCAGCTATGTGCCTGGTAAACTAATTGATGTAGGGCGCTGAAGTTTAAGAAGCTTTCTGAAATCTACTTCATGTTCTAAATTAATATACAGTAAAATATCTGGATTAAGCAGAATTATGATTTTATTGATAAGTTTCAAATATGCAAGGAATTATACAAATCAGTGGGATTTTTAGCTTTAATTCATATTCAAACAGCAATGGTACCAAAATAATTTGGTTGTTTCTTTCTAGCCCCGACATGTCCTCAATGCACTCAAGAAGTATATTCGTGCTGAACAGAAGGACAGACAGCACACACTGAAACATTTTGAGCATGTCCGCATGGTTGACCCCAAGAAGGCAGCTCAGATCAAATCACAAGTAAGATCGTGATCAAAATGAACACTGCTCACATTGCGCCTCCATTTCACATTCTGTTTTTGATCGAATTCAAGTTCAAACTGGAATGGAGACATTTGTGCCCGAGTTAATTTCTCAATTTTTAGAGCCAAAAGCAGTTACTGCCACAGGATATGACAATCTAACCAGACTGTAATTACAAAGATTGATTCAGTTAACATTTTAAATCTTTATTGAAATATAGTTTGCTCTTTTGAATCCCTTCATCTTATCCCTATATCTGTTCAATCTGCTGAAAACCTTGTGCTATGAAAAAGATCATGTACTGAGCCCCACCATCTCCTCTACCTCCCGCAGTTCTCTTGTTTGTGAAATCAGGGATGGTGACGTCTGCACTGGAACAGCGACTTGAGGCATATCAATACCTGACTCTATGCAAGTTCGCGAAAAGGCTTAATAATTCATCATAACATGAACATAAAGTTGCAGTGAACTTTGGATTTTCTGTCTGTACTTTGAGACATCTTGGCAAAACACACTTCCATAAGTTAGCAGCAAGCCTTGAAAATGTGTCATTTCTTGTTTTTTTACAAGGTTTTGCCTCTTTATGTCAGCAATAATTATTAAACCTATTAGAATAAATCCTGGCAACTTCTGGGTGTTTCAGAAGCATAGACAGTGAAAGGGCTCAATGAGAATATGAAGGTAGGAAAGAGTAAGACCGTGGAAGGTTTTGAAAACAAGGATCAGCATTTTTAAAAATAGAGATATTGCTTGACAGGAGGCCAGTGTAGATCAATAAGCACAGGAACTTGGTGCAAGTAATAACAGACTGGGTAGCTTTAGGGCCGCAGGTAATTGCGGAGATGAAACTGTAAAGGTGTTTGAAAACAAGGATGAGCATTTTTAAAATCAAGACTCTGCTTAACCAGAAGCCTGGATAAATCAGCCAGAGCAGAAAGAGATGACTGAATGGGACTGGTTGCAAGTTAGGACACAAGCAGCAGAGTTTTACATGGCATAAGAATAAAACAAAGAACTTCAGTTGCTGGAAATATGTAACAGAAACAAAAATTGACGGAGAGAAACTCAGCAGATCTGGAAGTATCTATGGAGAGAAAGTAGAGGTAACACTTCGAGCCCAGTGACCCTTCAGAATAAGTTTTTTAAATTACCAAGGAAGGAATCTCTGTGTCAGCACAGGGGGTATGCAGCTAGTTTGTAAACATTTGTAAACATAAGGAAATTACAAGTGCTTTTGTCGGTTTCCCAGTAGCAGCAGTCCATACTAATGAGAGCAAATATCTCCAAGCATCCACAATGTATAGGTTTACTTAAAATTTGCGTCTTTTGCCTTTTTTTCAGGTAATGACTCATTTACGTGTAATTGATGAGCGTATGAACCAGAGCCTGTCTCTGCTTTACAAGGTTCCTTCAGTTGCAGAAGAGATCCAGGACGAAGTTGGTATGTCCCTATAAATATGTTCGTTTTTGTATTTATTGTTCTTTTTAACCATGCCACAAGTAAGGCCAAAGGGACATAGGAGTAGGCCATTTGGACCTCCAATCTGGTAGGTAAAGCCCCATTTTATATTTAATTGACCCTGAAACCTTGCGCTATAGAGAGAAAAGCCGATCTAAAATGCTCACTGTAGTGATTGGAATGACGTCAGCCAGGTGTACCTCATAAAATGAGTTCCCTGATTGGGGCTGTTAATCTTGTCCAATCTGGCTGACAGATATAAACAAGGGTGTCAGAAGTTCTGTTTATTCTGAGAGCTGGCTGTGGATCAGTGTCAAGGACTTTCCAGTGTAAATAAAGGGTGATGTACCGACAAGATACCGGCCTCTCTGGAGTTATTTCAGTGGTGATGAGAGCAAATCATGTTCCTGATTAAGTTCGCTGGCAGTAGTTGTCTTTAAGTTGGGGTAAGCGTTTCTAGCATCATGCCATTATTAAGAATCTTGACCTGTTCCATCCTGCTGTTGAAGATTGGGCTCAGTATGCAGAAAGAACGTGTTATATTTTTCCAGACAAATGACATTGGGGCAGATGAAAAGTAACGAGTAATTCTCCTGATAGCTTGTGGACTCGCAGTTTTTTTAGTTATTCCAAGCCTAACTTTCCCTGAGGCACCAGATACTAAAACCATTCAAGAGATGATAGATTTAGTTAAGGAGTATTATGCCCCACACCACCTCAAATTCTGAGACACTATTGTTTTTTCTCAGCAATTCAAAAGCCAAGGGAATCTGAATCAGGATTTTTGGCTAGGTTAAGATGACTGGCAGAGGAATGTGAATTTGGTTTAATCCTTAATGCAATGCTGAGAGACCGATTTGTACGTGGGATTAATGATGTAACCATACAAAAGCTCCTACTAGCTGAACCTAACTGGACTTCAAACAGGCACTACAACTGACTTTTTATATGCTCTACTTGCTGCATTTTCCAATGATGAGTTAAAGGATATTCTGTCAGAGGTGGATACTCCCACCAGTCCAGCTGAGCTTGGGGAATACCACTTGTGAAGGAAATTGCACAGCCTCAGCCAGGACTTATCCCAAACAGAGGAACTCTCGGTCAGCCCACAGCAAAACCCCAAAACAAAGCCAAGTCTCGGCCAAATGCTTAAAATTTTCTTCAGGATCTAGGCCAGTAAGCCATTGTATTTGCTGCTGGTATGAGGACTTCAGACAGCGAAAGAGACCCACTAGATCTAAATTGTCCATCCCTAGATGCCCTTCAGAAGTTAATGGGAGCTACCTCTTGGACTGCTGCAGTCCATATTCTGTAGGTTGACCCCAAATAGCCTTAGGGAGAGAATTCCATGATTTTGACCCAGTGACATTGAAGCAATGGTGATATATATTTCCAAGTCAGGATGGTGAGTGACATGGAGGGGAACTTGCAGGTAGTGGTGTTCCCATATATCTGCTGCTCTTGTCCTTCGAGATGGAAGTGTTGGTGGGTTTAGTGAATTTCTGCAGTGTATCTTGTGGATTGTACACACCGCTGTTACTGAGCATCGGTGGTGGAGGAACCACAAATGCTTGTGGATGTGGTGCCAGTCAAGTGGACTACTTCTTCTAGATGGTGTCAAGCTTCTTGAGACTTGTTGAGCTGCACTTATCGAGGCAAGTGGGGAGCATTGTGTCACACTCCTGACTTGTGCCTTGTAGATGACAACTAGGGGCAGGCAAGAAATGCTGGCTGGCCAGCCGGCCAGCGATGACTGCAACCCATAAGTGAATCGAGAAAAAGTGTGGCAGGACGGCGGAGCTTGGATCCAATCCGTTGGTTGTAGAATCACTTTGTCTGTTGTCACTTGCTGCTTATTCAGTTTGGCATGCAAGTAGTCCTGTTTTGTACATTCATCAGGTTCGCATCTTATTTATAGGTATTCCTGGTGGTGCTTCTGATGCCCAGTTACACTCTTCATTGAACCTTCATTTATTCTCAGAATGTGAAGTTGCTGACTGCTTTGCATTCTGTGTTGAATTTGCAAAGCTTATTTTCTGGCTTAAAATTTTGAAAGATCTGCTAATAATTGTGTTTGTGACTTAGTGATTTTTTTATTCATTCATGCATGTGGGCATCATTGGTTAGACCGGTATTTATTGCCCATCCTTAATTGATCAGAGGGCATTACTGTGGGTCTGGAGTCACACATAGGCCAGACCTGGTAAGGATGGCATATTTCCTTCCCTAGAGGACATTAGTGAATCAGATGGGTTTTCCTAGACAATTAGCAAGGATTTCATAGCCATCAGTAGGCTATTATTTCCAGATTTTAATTGAATTCAAGTTCCACCATCTGATATGGCAGAATTCAAACCTGTGTGCCCAGAACAATACCTGGGTCTTTGGATTAATAGTCTAACGATAATACCACGAGGCCATCTCCTATCCCTGAAACTGACTAATTGTTAGCTGGGGAAATAACACTGTCTCTATTTACCTACGGCAGAAATGTTAAAATAAAAATCTGCCTTTAATTTAGAGTACTGCAGTCTGATGAAGAAGCTTGATAGTAATTTCTATTGAGTTAGATTTCCCTTTTGATACTGCAGTATATTATTTCTGTACTTCGTGTGTCATTTCAGAAAAAAATGCACTCCATTTACAATCGAAAGAACAAACTTTAAGGTTACTTTTTATTAATTTAACATGTTAAATAGAGTTCTGCTAGAATGCATTCTTAAAGGGAAAAAAAACAGCTTTCGAATGGCGGAGAACTTTAATCATTGATATTATAGGTAGTTCTATCACGTTTTGCAAGTCATTAGGTTTTTGGAGATCTGTCAAACCTAAATTCAGATCAATTCAACATTTCTCTACCTGGCAAAAATCTCCTTTTAAGTCAAATGTTTTTAAGGATGTTAGAGTTTTTTTGAAAAAAAACACTAGTTCAGCCTCAACTGGAGAAATGTGCTTAATTCTGAGTGTTGAATGCTAAGAAAGATGTAAAGGTTTTCGAGAGGATGAAACATTTACAAGAATTGCTATAGACAAGGGATTTGATTTATGTAAATAGCTTGCAAAAGCTGTGATGTTCTCCTTGACAGGAAATTTGATAGAATTAGTAAAAGTCATGATTGATTTGGAAAGTGTAGATAAGGAAAACCTTCACATTGGTGTAAGGAATGAGAACAAGACGGCGCAGATTTAAGGTAATCGGCAAACAAAGCAATGGTTACCTGAGGAAACTCCTTTTCTCACAGCAAACAGTTAGCCATGCACAGTTTTCAGAGCCTATGGGGAAAAGGTACGGAAGTGGAGCTAAGCAAATTGCTCCTTTGGAGAGACAGCACAGCAAACCAAATGACATTCTTCTGTCCTTTGATCTAAAGAATGGGTTTCCACATAGGAAATAAATGCCTGTCTCTCTCTTTTCCTTTGTACTATCCTCATCCCCCAAAAAATCTTTGTACGTTTCTGTTCATTCTATGGAGCATTCATTAAGTGTCCTGTGCAAAAATATAATGGAAGTCTTTTGTACTTCCAAATAAAATTACTTACACTTTGTTTACAATATTGTAAACAGAGAATTATAATAATTTAACAACTGAGGATTGGGATAAAAACTTTGAGAATCTAGGTTGCATTGAGTGATCTTTCAATTAATAGAAAGGATGTAATGCTGCCACCCTGCTGTTGCCCCTTCACATTCAAACCGATAATGTTTGGAATAAAAACCAAAAGAACTGCGGATGCTGTAAATCAGGAACAAAAACAAAGTTGCTGGAAAAGCTTAGCAAGTCTGGCAGCATCTGTGAAGGGAAAAAACAGAGTTAACGTTTCAGGTCCAGTTCTGAGGAACAGTCACCAGACCCGAAGCGTTAACTCTGTTTTTTCCCTTCACAGATGCTGCCAGTCCTGCTGAGCTTTTCCAGCAACTTTGTTTTTGTTGTGATAATGTTTGGACACTTGGTATTTAGAATTTGTTTGAATGGAACTTGAGTTGTACATGACCGTTCTAATATTACATTTCATTACCTGTGCACCATTCCAAAAAATTTGACTCAAGCATTGTGTTAACACAGATGAACTGCTGCAGAAGGAGCAAAGCTACATTGATGACTTGGTAGCAAACTCTGTCAGTGACACGCGAATTAGTTATGGAAACGATGCACTGGTCCCATCTCTCTCTGAGACGAAAACAACAATAGAACTTCTACCAGATGACGGAGAGTTTAATCTTGATGACTTTCAACCTCTGCATCCATTTGAGGTTGACTCCATCCCTGCTAACACAGAGAATGAAGGTAACAGTGGAACGGGGAAGATTTGAAAAGTGGAGAACAAATGGGCAGAATAAGTACAATACATAGCATCTCAGCTAACATATGGAATTATTTAATATTGAGCCCTGCTGAGGGTAAGGACAGCTTGTAATTGAAATGTTTTCCATTTAAAAAATTACATTTGCCATCAATGGAAATGAAAATTTGGTATCTTAATTAAACAACTGAATAATGGAGAGGACAGTTATTTTTTTGTCAATCACTCTGCTCACCTCCTACAAACTGGGCAGAAGCAAACTAAAATTTTGTGCTAATGGAAAATTACAAAGCCCTTTTAGAAAAATATAATGTATAATACACATCATCTAATTATAAAAAATCTCATCATGCAAAGGATTATCTGAGCATGAAAGATGTTTTCAAAAAGTTGATTCATTTTATTTAAAGAAACATTTTCTCAATAACCTGCAGCAAGCGCCATCTTTTCTATTAGCAACCCCAAATCTATTTTTCACATTTTCTTGTCCTCCTTCACGCACGCTTACACATCCACGTGAATGTGCACTCTTCCCGTGTTAGAACTGCTTTGATCAACACCTTGATGGACAGCATTTTTCAAACCTATAAGCCCTTCCACCTAGAAGGGCCAGGGACAGAAAATGTATAAGACCATCACGACCTGCGTGTGCCTCGCAAGCCACAGACCATCCTGATATGGAACTATATCATTGTTCACTCACTGTTGCTGGCTGAAAATCTTAGAAATCCTTTCCAAGCAGCATTGTGAGTGTACTTAACCCATATAACTGCCCTTGAATCATTGCAGCCTAGGGATGGGCAACAGATGCTGTCTTAGCTAGAGCCTACAAAACAAATTCAATAGAGTTGGCATAATTTCAAAATTTGCAGGTGGTGCAAAACATAGAAGTATTGTGAACTGTGAAGAGGATAGTGATAGATTTCAAGGGAATGTAGAAGGCTATTGAATGGACAGTGTTATGATGCCATCTGATGTTATTAATGAATAAGTCACATCCCAGACAGAAATTTGGTTTGATAAATCATGTTTTAATTTGTTTAATTTTAACAACGTGGTCTCTTGCTGAAACATAAGCATAAAATGCTGCAGATTTTGCTATAACCATAAAACAAAAGTTTATTAACACAAAAAAAACATAGAACAAGCAATACCGTCTGCTTATAACTTGAAATGTTTCTAAATACAATAAAACTATTGTCCCATTAGCCTGAAAACACTCCTTCGTAAGTTAGAAAGAAACAATAGTTTTACTATAGGACTGATTCATTTGCATGAAACTCATACCAGAGTCCCTGAATCTTAACAACTTAATAGGTTTAAGTCACTTGAGACTTCAACTTTTAGACTGGAACAGAGGATAGCTTCTTCTTGGAGCTATCATGCACCTGAACTTCAACGTTCTCAGCTTTAAGTAACTGCAACAGGGTTTTAACCCAAAACTTCTGGTCTAGAGCTAATACTAATTGTTTATTCTAAGGCAGTCTAGTTCACTGCATTCTTCTCAAGAGCACTGGGAGTACAATTATTTATTCTGAGGATTTCACGGGATTGCCCAAAATACAAAGTGAAATTGAAACCAAAAGTCTTGCTCTCCAAGCTATGGATGTTTCCCTTAAGTTTAAAACAAGTTCCAGAAGTCCCTAGCAAACCTAGAGGCCGCTTTATTTACCTGCTGAGTCGCAAACCAATCTACGATAAACTTGCAAATCCATTTGTGGTGCCTAAATCTAAAGCCATGCCACAAAAACTAAAAACAATCACAATGGAAACAGAACTAAGCACAAATTACTTATTAACTTCAGACACACAAAAAAGCCATAGAATGCCAACTCAAAAACATATATATATATTCCTATATAAAGACCCACAATCTTGACCTCTACCAAAAAAGAATGAAAATCTACTGGTTCAGCTTCATCCACAGTGTTGTGTCCAGTTCTGGGCACCATTATTTATGAACACTGTGGAGACGATACAGAAGAGTTATAAAATTTTTCCAGACTTGAAAAATGTCAGTTACATGGATAGCTTGAGAGGAAAGATGTGTTTAAAATCATGAGAGGTTTCTCTCGATGGGAGTATGTTCTTCCACTAGTGAAAAGGTTAAGAAACAGAGGATATCATTTTAAGATGAGTGGCTAAAAGAAACAACTTCTTTATGCAGTGAGTGATGAGGATCTGAAATTCATTGTCTGAGTGCATGGTGGGGAAGATTCACCCATGGCTTTAAAAGAGGATTCAATTATTTATCTGAAGGGAAATTCATTTTGTAGAAAGAACAGGAGAGTGAGACCATCTGAGTTCTTGCAGAGAGCCAGTAGAGGACATGATGGGCTGAATGGCTTCTTGATTCTATGTTGCAATCCCAATCTTTCCAATTTATTAGGAAGAGAGTGCTCAAAATATATTAAAAGATTCTGCAAGATGAAAATCTACCCTACCTAAGTCCACATGGTGCAGATTCTCCCATAGTCCTGTAGGTAGGAGATTCCAGGATTTGTCATCAACGGCAATGAAGTAATAGCAATTATATTTCCAAATCAGAAGTGTGAAAGAGACTTGGTGGTGAATTTACAGACTGCGGTGTTTCAAAGTGTCTGCTGTCCTAGTCTTTTTAAGCAATGGTGGTCATGAATTTAGAAAGTGCTTTGAAGAAACCATAGCAAGTTGCTGCAGTGCATCCTGACAGACACTGCATCCATGTGGTGGCCCATCAGTGACAGATGGGGTACCATGTTAGAGTTGCACCCAACTAAGCAAGTGGAAACATTTACCATATTGTCAGACTTCCAACTTGCGCATAGTGAAATGGCGTTCAGGAGTTACTCATTACAGAAGGCCCAGGCTTCAGTGTGCTTTTGTGTCCACCGTATTTGTTTGGCTAGGACAAGCCTGTACAAAGCCAAGTCAAGTCAAAGAGGCCTCGGCGAATCCTAAAACACTATCTCCCACAGAAATATTTCATGATCTAGAGAGCGATAAAAATGGAAGGAATTGTAGAAAATACTCTCATTGAAGCGAAATTCAATTTTTTTTATTGAATATAATGCTTTTCCTTCCCTCACTGATTATGCAGTTCTCTTTTATCTGTTAGCTAAACTGAAATGGTGTTCTGGTTTGCAAGATATATTTGGTTAAAATAATTGAATAGATCTAATCTACCTGTGTCCCTCACAGCAACAACCAAAGTGAAAGGAAGAGACACAGTTAGGGGGAGAAGGAACTTACAGCAAAAAGAAACTTAAAACTTGAATCTAATCACTGTTATTAGTGAGATGAGTAAAATGAAGTTCTGATAATTTTATAATTGTCTGCCGAATAGTTCATCTTTTATAATTCCCAGCATGTTCAGTTATATATGCTGCCCCTAAGTGAAATTAAGAAAATTTTACGAGGGGCGGGGGAAAGAAATTGAAAGCCAAATGGGAAACCAGTACAATGACTGGGACCCTAGCCCCTCACCTATGAACCCTGGGAGCAAGCACAATCAAGACAGATAGGGTGGAAGTCCCCCTGTCTGTTCATTAGTGAATTGATTTTACCACCAGATTCCTAGAAATCTGGGCCCATAGACTGCCTCCAGTCTGCCTCTGATTGATGCATTCATTCAGACAACAGATGACTGATGACGAAGTGGAAACAGTGCCTCACTCGTGCAGTAAAACCCGATAACATTAGGGATGGAGTACATTATGGCAACAGATTAGGAGGAGTTTTCCTGATTGGGCTGATGCCTAATGCTGAAATAAGACCATAAGAAAGAGGAACAGAAGTAGGCCTGCTTTGCCATTCAGTAGGATCATGGCTGCTCCTCACATCCACTTTCCTACCCTTTCCCCATAACCCTTGATACCTCAACTGATCAAGAATCTGTCTATCTCAGCCTTAAATATATGTTAGGACTCTTGCCCCACTGCTGTTTGTCGCAAGGGGTTCCAAAGGCACTCCACCTTCTGAGAGAAGAAATTCCTCCCCATCTCAGTCTTAAATTGATGCCCCTTAATTCTGAGTTTATGCCCTCTGGTCCTAGACTCTCCCATGAGGGGAAACTTTCAACATTTACACTGTCAAACCCCTTAAGATCCCGATATGTTTCAATGGCATCACCTCTCATTCTTCTAAATGTCAGTGAGTAGAGTCTTAGCCTGTTTAGCCTTAACTCATAAGACAGTCTGTCCATACCAGTGATCAACCTAGTGAAACTTCTCTGAACTGCCCTGAATGAAATAATATCTTTTCCTTAAAAAAGGGGACCAAAACTGCTCTCAATACTCCAGAATACCAGTACCATGCATGGATATAGTGATTGATATGGATAGAGCTTTATTCCATGGCAATGTCCTTTATCTTAACATCAATAACGATAATTTAGTTAAAATGAAGTTTGTTCTCACTTCCATTGTCTAAAGTGGGAACGTAGGTGAGCCTTTGCCAAAGTCACTTGGTAGAGGTTTTTAAGCAACAGTCAGTGAAATCTAGGTTTCATAGCCTTCGATCTACTTTGTACTTCACACTATGTTGCAAACTAGATCAGAGGAGATATCTTTGCCTGAGTTTGCATCCAAACAGATTTCTTTAACTTTTTTTAAGCAAGAATCTTGTCTCGCCTTGCTCATAGTAGATTCAAATGCAGTGCCTTTTCATCCTTCCGCCAGCTCATCTGAATGTTTTGCACTTGTCCTGATGAGCCAGCTTCCCACTCCCACTTGAACAGATTGTTCAACAATAATTCAGTCCCGCGGTATGAAAGGATTGGCAGCTGGCCTTGTTAATGGAAAGTGATTGTGTGATGCCATGCCAACACCCTACAATCACTTGGGAGGCCTACCAAATGTTGATACTGTTAGCTGGATTCGTAACAGATTTCTATTTTATAACAAACATAATTCAACTCAGAATGAGCTTTAAAAATGAATTTGTCTGGCTCCGTTTCAATGAAATTTTAAGTTGTGAAAGCAGGTAAAAGATCATTTTCATGGAGACTGGATTTCTTGTCAGATCTGAGACATTCAGACAGCGCAGAATTTTTCATATATAATAAGAAGTGATAAGTGTATGTTTGTTAATGTACTAATTACAGGATGTGGGTGGTTTGCACATGCTCACAGATATTGTACACTGTGTCCTGTCTCTTCTCAGATGTCTTTCTGAGACCCTATATCAAAATTAGATAGTTTACTTCAACCTTTTTGGTTACTTAGACTTTACTGAGATCAAAATTCTGCAAAGAGTGACTTTGAAAATTAATTTTTAAAGTTTAGCAACATTGCCAGTGTGTTATAAAGCAAGCAAAGTAATTTGTTCTTGGTTAGGTATGCAGTCAAATTCAACCTAGATCTTTGTGCCCTACCTTCTGTTCTATTTATTTTTGTTTTGCCACCCCCACCCTCTGACCCTCAAAATCTACTCCATTTTTGTCTTTCATAAATAGACTCAGTTTTTATGTCTGCACTAGTTTTGAATTTAGTTCTGTATTCCACACTTCTCCCCAAACTCTAAAAATTAGTTATCTTCAACTAAATGTCCAATTGCCTTTTAAAAGTCCCTCTGCAATCAGATTCCAATGCATTTCCATTGCAGCAGCTTTAATTTACAGTCTATCAAATGGGACTTCACTGGCTTATTTTTTAGTCCCTTGCTTTTATGCACTAATCTAAAAATCCCATTTCTGGGCATGTTTGCTTTGGATACCATTTCCACTTATAAAATTTCACTGTTTTAAACAAAGGAACAAATACCAACTGACTTTTTTTTTTAACATGGGTGCAAGTTTCTAGTTTCAAGTGTGTGATTATGGTATTGGCCATTGGATTTTGCAGAAGTAGGGCATGGAGAAAGAGTGGTTTTATTAGACGATAATACGGAAAGTTAATGTTCCAGTTTGCTGGTGTCATCAAGGCTAGCTATTTATTTGCATTGCTGGCAATTATCCTGTGTGGCTGATGCAGGGGCCTACACAAGCTGCTTATGCTCCCTTTAGTTGCTTTTAATTTTATTTCCCTCACCACTTGCTGATTTTTACTTACTCTTTTGTTTCTACTTCTCAATGTATGTGCCCAGTTGAACCAGTTGATGCGCGGCCAGCACCAGACAGAGGACTAACCACTCGACCAGGTATTCATTTGCTTGGCTTTTGCTGAATGCTGATTTTAATATGGTTCAAAATAATACCTTTTGTTTTAGTTTTACTCTTATATTGCATCCCCTGTTTTAATTTGCACAAATATAATGCCCAATGAGGGAGATCGAAAGAAACAAAGTTAACTCTTGGACAGAACGTTTCATATTTTGCAGAGGATCATATGAGGCATGTTTTGTGGAAATTGACCATTTCTTCTCTAATTCTCTCTTACTCCCGTTCTCCTTCCCCCCCCTCCTCATTGCTTATCCTTTATTTCCTTTCCCTTTTTCTCTGTGTTCCTTCCTCACCGCACCCTACATTTTTACAAGAGTTTGCTGCATAGAAAAGCATTTTTTTGTTGATACTTTATGGGGATTGGAGAGTATGAGAGCAGGGAGACAGCAGAGCATTCATTTATTTTCTTCTCGTCTGAAGGCACAGTGTTGCGAAACTCCAGCTGCAACAACAATACCCCTGCCCCAAGGTCTTACCAAGTGCAATTCTTGTTTGAATCCAGAGTGAGTTTTCCCTTACTCATTCTCGGCATTTATATCTCCCCCTTCCCCTTGTTAGGATCCCTGATTACAAGCTAAATTGACAAATATTTTCCTCATCCTTGCCCTGGAATGCAATCTCAACCATAGCGTTCCTACAATTCTGTTAGCTGAGACTAATTAACTTGGTTCAGAGGGTGGTCTTGAACATCGTATTTGGGAGGGTGCACATTCTCATCGTCAAGTTAAGAAAGTTCTCAATGGTTTTGTATATACACAGGCTCTGGACTCACTGGCATTAAGACAGAGGAGATAGCTGAAGTAAAGATGGAGACTGAATTCCGGCAAGATTCTGGTTATGAAGTCCATCATCAGAAGCTGGTGAGTGCTTTTGTATACCATAGACAGTGAAAAACTATTTGGAAGGTATTTCTAACATTGTGGCTGCAGATTTGGAAAATGGGGCTGTTACCAGTCATGCCATTTTAATTGATGAGTGCTATATCAAAATTAAGTCAGTTAATGATGTTTCAGATTGACAGAAATGTACTGTAACCATCGGCTCAGGAATGTGATCAAATCTGCATTATGTTCCAAGATGAGGACAAGTGTAAAATACTCAAAAAGCTCGACACAATTTGTGGCAAAATGGTTTGCTTGATTAGTACACCGCCAGTCGCCTTCTCATACAAATGTATTGATTAGGAGTGAGAGTAGGTAATTGGGCCCCTCAAGTCTTCTCCAACATTCCATGAGGTTATGACTGATCTAATATGGTCACAACTCAACAACCCATCCTAGCCCTCATAACCTTTGACTCCCTTAATGGTCAAGAATCTATCTACCTCCGCCTTAAAAGTATTCAATGGCCCTCCTTTGATTGCTGTCTGACAGTGTGTTCCAAAGTCCTGAACCTATCTGAAGGAAGTCCTCCTCAACACTGTCCTGAAAGGGTGATTGCACTATGGCTGCTGTATGTATGATATGCAGTTTGCAAAGCAACAAGTCAAGACAGCTTCACTGGCACATTCCTGTATTGCAATGTCCTTTACTGAGACGGAAGCATCACTAAATCTCTCACTATCCTGATTTAATCATCTCTTGACATTTCTTCCCCATTAGATCAAGAAGCTGAGCGTAATGTATCCATGATAACAAGGTGTAGAGCTGGATGAACACAGCAGGCCAAGCAGCATCAGAGGAGCAGGAAGGCTGACGTTTCGGGCCTAGACCCTTCTTC